CAGCAGGAAGGGGCCAGAAGAGAGAGAACAGGAGGGTCTGGGGCCCGTAGAGGCGCCGGTACAGGACCCTGGTCTCATTCTCCCGCGGGGTCGAGAAGCAGTAGAAAACCCGGTGCTCATGGAAATTGTCTCTGACTTTCTCCACGTCGGCCCGGGCCAGCTGGTAGTTGTCCAGGCTGCTTGGGATGTAGGAGCACTGCGGGGAGAAGCAGGAGTTCCTTTGGAGTGGGAGTCCCCATCTCTTAGCACCCAGAGATGAGGGGCTGGCCAGGAGTGAAGAACAATGCCAGCGTTGGAGTCAGGCCCCTGAGGGCGGGGGGGGGAGAAGGGGGAGCCAGAACTATCTAAGGCTACAAGGTGCCCTCACAGTGTCATCTGTGAGCATGGTGGCCCTGCGGCTGCTCAGGGCCCAGCTGGGGTCCTGGCTCTGCTTCCAATCACTCACCCTTTCTGAGCCTTGATAGCTTCATCTCTTAAATGGGTTGAAAGCAATATCTTTTCCAACGATGTTATTGAAGGAGGACTTCAAGCTTCGCAAAGGAGACCAATGAGAGGCAGTGAGTGACACAGGCCCAGTGGCTCTGCATTTGGATTCAGGCCAGAGGTCACATGCTCGGGTACCTGCAGGACTCACGCAGGGATGCCCACAAGTGACGCGGTGAGAGAATAAGAAGGCAGGTGCCACCTTGCCTATGTGCCATAGAGAACTGTCAGGGAGTGGTGGGGCCTGGTGACAGGAGGCAGCCGGATGCACCCAGACTGGCAGTCATCACTCCATCTGGGGAGGGGTCACCATGGGATCCAGAAGAACTATTGCAGCCAGGCCTCCGACATGTCACGAGAAGCCAGAAAACCAGCGTTTAATGTGAACTCTCACATTCTGCAAATATTGGCAACAGTTCACATGGAACACCCTCTGTGGTCTCGCCCTGTGTGAGCCAGGCAAAAGGTGCTGGCCAGCCAATATTAGACGCTGGGATGCAGAGGGGAGGGAGGGTGTGTCCAGAGGAGTGTTGTGCACACGAGCGTGGCACACATTCAGTTCTGACACTGACTGTTGTTCTGAGGAGCCTCTGGCCTTATCAGATGAGACCCAGCTGGAAAGCTCTGCAGAGGAGTGCAAGGCAGGGACCCTGGTTCTAGCTCTGCTCTGTGCCCGGAGGTCTGGGTATTGTTTATGGGAGCCTGTGGGAGATGTTCTGCAAGTGAGGGTACCCCCTCCACCTTCTTCCCTCCAGCAGACCCCCTGGGGGGGCTGGCCCTCTGAATCACCAACGGTGGGGCCCAGGAATCAAGTGATTCCTTCATTTTCAAAAGTTTGAGACCACTGGGCTAGAGGAATTATGCCCAAGAGCAACAATGGGTAAACTATTGAGCCAGCTTCTCCCCAGCCTTGGTTACTCTCTGGATTTGAATGAGGCCCTGACCTCACAGCTGCTGACCCTGACAGTGCTCAGTCCGGCAGAATGAAGGATGGTTGCATCAGAGTTCTGGCAGCCTGGGAAGTGGGGGAGCTGCATCCAGAAGTAGGTCACCAGCCAGCCAGCTAGGGAGCAGCTGAGGCTGGGGAGAAGTTAGCTCCTGGGAAATCTGGCATGCAGAGTTTTGGGGCACCTCAGGGTCCCAGTAGCAGATGGATTCAGAATCCTGAGCTGAGAGGGCCTAGCTCAAGTCTCCCCAATGCCTCTGACTGTGATGTTGGGGAACCTAGCTCACTGAGTGATGTGTGGCTGTGGAGCCAGACAGGCTTGAGTTCAACTACCAATTCCAAATTGTGTGACCTTGGCAAGTGCCATAACTTCTCTGAGCCTTGTAAACTGGGTTTGTGAGGGTGCCTGCCTACTTGACTTGTTGTGGGGATTAGAAGAGAGGATGCATATAAACACTTCACACAAAGCTGAGCACATAGTAAGTGCTCAATAAATGGGAGATGCTGTTATTATTTGTGGCCCTGCACATGAATCTGTGCACGAGTAGCTTGCAGCCACTTGCCTCAGCTGGCCGCCCCGCCCACCGCCGCTCATAGCTCTCCACCACACGTAGCTGACTGCCCTGCCCTCCTGTAGCTCTCTGCTGCTTGTAGCTCGCTGGCCCGCCCTCCTGCTGATCGGTCATTACACGTCACTGCATGATGACCATTTGCATATTACCTCTTTAGATAATAGGATAATGATATTGGGACTTAACCATGATATTGCAAAGATAGCTTCTCCTTTCCCTTTTTAGAGAGGGGCCTTTCATGTAGCACCCAGCTGGCCTGCTGCACTAGCCCCTTGCACCCCAGAGCTGAATGAAGTAGGGGGGCAGCTGGCCCTTTGACCCAGCTGAGAGGCAAAAACATGAAGGTACTTCCCCTGCCCCCACATGCTAGCAGCCTGCCATTAGCAACTGCTCCTGGTCATGCCTGGGTATGATGGGAGAGAAGACAGAACAGCCGGTGGCTGCCTTCCAGAGCCAGACATGCCGCTGGCAGTTCATCTCAGGGGACAGTCTGGCCTCCTGTCCCTCTGAGCTGACAACCGTAGCATCAGGGAGGCGGCCTGCAAGCCAGCCTGCGCCCAATCCCCGTCACACCATGATCGTGCCCACCTGCCTTTGAAACTGTGCTGCTTGCTCCTTGGGGATAAGTCAGGGGCCACTGAATGCCAGGAGAGGCAGGTGTCCCGGTGGGAGCCTATTCGGGGGATTTGGGGGCTCTTTCTCCGTCTGGCGGGGCTGTCGCGCCCTGGAGTGATGGCAGAAGAGTCAGGCCACCTTGCACTGTCCACACCCACTTCTCCATGACCCCCAACCCCCAGCACTGTCCGTAATCCCACTGTCCCCCCAGACACTCTGCCCCTTCCCATCCTATCAGCCACCGAAGTCTGACTGTCAGCATCCACCCGGCTTCAGGTCCCATCTTCCTCCCGGGTGTTTGCTGTGGCCCCGCCCCTCTGCCCAGTCACTGACAGGCACACTCCTCTGCTCCTTTCTGATCATGTACCCTGGACCCCAAGCCCTGGAAAGACTCCAGGTTGCTCACGACAGGAATTCTCTACCTTTGAACCACCTGGAGAGCCCAGACGCTGCATCCGTTGGTCAGGAGTGGGAGCCTGGTTTTGCTGTCCTCCCTTCCGGCCTTCTCCTGCGCCCTGCCCTTGACCTGTGTATCCCTCCATGTTTCTGTGGCCCTTGTGCCTGCCTGATATTTAAACGCCAAACCCCAATGCCTGGCACCCTCGCCTGCCTCACTGGTGGCTGGAAAGCGTCCTCCCTCCTCTAATCCCACAATGTCCCCCCCTTCTTCTCTATGGCACGGCTCCCTCCCACCAGGATTACTTCCTGCCTGAGCCATCTCCTCTTGAGTCCTAAGCCCCCAACACAGGACGTGCCCAATGACTGTTGAGTGAAAGAGGGAGCGAATGAGCAAATGAATATGGGCTGACTTGTATTTCCTTTAGGGAGGGCTACCATGTGGATTTGGGGGTGGGAGGGATGTTGGGAGGCAGTGATGAGAAAACGTCCTAAGTGTTGCCTTTGCTCCAGCCCTGGACCCCAGCTTCCTAGGGTGAGGGATGCGTAGGGGTTCCCTCGGGGGGTCAGCTCTGGGCCTGGCCTTTCATTTGACTTACAGAATGAGGCACTAACACCAGCGGCCACTTTATGCATGGGTGCTATGCATCCGACATGGAGGTTGGCACATTAGATCCAGTGCTCTTTGCATGAGAGCAATTCGGCAAAGGTGGAAACTGAGGCACAGCGGGGCTAAGTCAGCCGCCCCGGGTCACACAGCCAGTTAGGGGCACAGCAGGGATTCACACCGAGGTCTGTGTGACTCTCACACAGAAGAGCAAGGTCTGACTGGACCTCATGCCAGCGACGGTCCCTGACCAAGGGGGTCATCTTTCTCAGCCCCCACTCTCCAGGGAGGAGCTAGGGAGCCAGTTAGGGACAGGCCCTCACACCTGCCAGGGGTACGGGGACAGGTACCCATCCCCCCAGTTCGTACCTGCTGGTTCTGGTCCCAGGTGTCCTCCGTGTGGTACAGCACGGCCCAGCGGCCCACGGCGGACACGTTGACCCACAGGCACGGGTACTGGGCCACCTTCCTGCCCTCCAGCTCCTCCTGGTCCCTGATGTTGGTCTCAATCAGGTGGCACGTGGATTCCTGGGTCCACACGCTGGAGAGATCACACACACACACACATTTCAGAACCCGTGTGGCACAGAGCACCCTGACTGAACCCCTTGGAGAGAGCCAGGGCCGGGACTTGCATCATCCCACGAGCGCCCAGCACTGAAGGAGCGTGGGCCCAGGGGAGGACACAGAATCCGAATGGCAGTGCCGATGGCCTCTTGGACCTCATCCATGTAATGGTCTTCAAAACCTGGGGGAACTTGGATCCCACATCCAAGCCACAGTCCAGAACGGATGGATGAGGCCCAGGCCCTGGTTGTTTTGAAAAGAGCAGGCACCTCATCTTCATCCTCCGAGATGGAAGAGAAGCTCAGAGAGGTCAAGTGACTTTTCCGGGGCCGCACAGGACCTGAGTCAGGTCTGGGTGGCTTCAGAATCTGTGCCCTTTCCCCTAGAAAGCGGAGGTTAAGGAGGGTTCGGTCTGTGCCGGGTGGGGAGGGCGGTGGGGATCGAGCTTAACCTGAAGGTGCCGTGTCGGAGGTGCACGGCTGCTCTGAGCGGTCAGGTGCCAGCCTGGAATCTCTCCAGGGTGTCAACAGGGAGAAAGGAGCTGACCCCAGCGCGGCTAACAGGCTCATCAACACATCAGCCGCAAATCAACTGTGACTCCTCCCCCCTTCACCAGGCGAGGGGCTGGCAGGAGCGGGGCTGGCGTGTGCCCAAGGCAAGGGGCTGAGACTCAGCCTAAGAACAGGCCAGGAGAACTGAGTGTGTTTGTTCCAGATAGAGCTGGATCAGGAACGTCACCGCTCTCCCTTCAAAAGCTCACGTGGCTGACATGTCAGGGAGCAAGGGCACGGAACCTTCTCCGAGATCCAGAGCAGAGCTCCGGGGAAGCGGGTTTTGGCTCAATGTAGACAGGTCCTACTTATCAGAAAGTAGGTGTGCACAGTGAGGTAGTGAGCTCCCCGTCACTTGAGATATTCCACAGGAGGCTAGATACCTACTGACCAGGAGGCTTTAGACGGGGAGTCACACTGTGCAGATGGGGTACACGGTTCTGTGACTGGCGCCTCCTGGGATGCAACTCACTGGAGCATTTGTTCTGACCCTTTGATGTTTCCCGTGGAAAGGCCTCCTGTGTGTTACCTCCAAGTCCCAGGACCCCAGACCAGCAGGAACCAGTCGGCCTTCCCTCCACCCTCCCTGCACTGGAATCCTTGACCCTACAAATGAGGATTCCTGATGGCGTGAGGGTCCCGGGGAAGGGTAGGAAGAAGTCTGGGGTTCCTCACAGACCAGACCTTAGGGGAGCGGCTGGAGGCTGGGGACAGGCCAGGAGGGTGCACACCTTTTCTGGTAGAGGGGCAGCATGGTCGTGCAGAGGATGTAGTAGGCGATGACGGCACACACCACCATGGCCACGCCCAGGCAAAGGGCTCGAGTCTCTCCCCGCTTCTGGGCCATCACCAGCTTCTTCCCCATGTCCGCTGGGGACAGCAGTCATTGCTAAGGCCACAGAGACACATAGACATGAGCAGCACAGGTGACAATTAATCCACAGAGGGGAAGACAGGTGAGAGGGAAGGGGCCTCCAATATTAATATCGCCCCTATTTGTATATGGAGCCTTGCAATGTCAGACAGCTTTTTTGGACCCCAGTAAGCCTCCCACCAGCTCTGAGAGGCGATGTGATTAACTCCCTTCCACAGATGACCGACCTGTGGCTCAGAGAGTACAAGTGACCTGCCCAAGGTCACAGTGTGTGGTCGGCTCAATAGTGACCCAAGATGCCCATGTTCTCGGCCCTGGAATCTGTGATTGTTACTTAACATGGCAGAGACTTTAAGGAGCTTGAGATCACCCACATGGGTTATCCACGTAGACCCCCAATGTCCTTACAGGAGGAGGCAGGTGGAGACTAGACTCAGAAGAGAAGGTCATGTGACCAGGGAGGCAGAGACTGGAGTGATACCACACATGCCAGGGATTGCAGGCAGCCCCCCCTCCCCCTTCCCCCGGCAGCCAGAGGAGGCCAGGAACCTCTGGAGGGAGTGTGGCGCTGGTGATGCCGTGATCACAGCCTTGCCAACATCTTGCCAATTTGGGGCTTCTGGCCTCCAGACCTCTGTGCAAGTGGATTTCTGTCGTCGTGGCCGTTTGTGAAGGTGGCAATAGGAAACTGGCACGGGAGATACACTAGTTCCTCAAGTAGCAAGGGCGGGACATCCTAGGACACTGTCCGAGAAACCCGGGGCCTTCACAGTTCTGCTGTGCAAGTAGATTTCTGTGGTCGTGGCCGTTTGTGAAGGCGGCAATAGGAAACTGGCATGGGAGATACACTAGTTCAGCTGTGGGCAAACTACGGCCCGCGGGCATTGTGGCCCTCGAGTCAAAAAGTTTGCCCACCTCTGCACTAGTTCCTCGAGCAGCAGGGGCAGGACATCCTAGGACGCTGTCCGAGAAACCCGGGGCCTTCACAGTTCTGAGAGGCCTTCAGTGGCTGCTGCAACTGCTCTCTCTTCTGGGGGCTTGAGCCACCCGGGACGAAGCAGAATGGAGGGTAGGAGTAGCCGGCACCTCTCCTCTTTCCTCCTCACCTTCCTTCTGGGCATCTGCCTCACCGGGTGCAAACAGAGGCCCTCCCCTCCCCAACCCCCTCCCTCCCTGGGCCACTGAACACTCTCCAGGGGTGTGACTGTCACCTGTAAGTCACCTGGCACCTGACAGCTGCCGGCTTCTGTCCCTTATGGGGTTCCCATCTGTTCTGTGACTTGCCCCATTAGCCTTTGGGTACATTTCCTTGTTGTTTTGTTGGTTTAGGGTAACCATAGTTCGTTTCTACCAAAGATACCAGGGTCATGGGGCCCTCTCTCTGTGATCCCCTGCTTTGGGGAAATTTTAGCTGGATATCAGGAAGAACTGTATTTTCCCTGCCAGGTCCCTAAAGTAATAAACAGGTTATTTTTTATACATTAGTGAGTGTCCAGGAGGGAGACATTGGTCCAAAGGGATTTTCAGCAAAGCACTTTATTTTCCACTTAGGCTTCCCTCCCAAGTATTGACTGTTTCAAGTGTCCCCAGAGATCCTTTCCCCCTTCTCCGCCCCCCCCCACTCCTCCCCCACTGTCCTAAAGAGAAGATCCTGGGATCCAGCACCAAGGATATATAACCTTGTCACTGCCTCCAAGATGACTGACAGGGATGACACCCAATGGCAAGTTTTCCTCCCTCACTGGGGCACTGAGAAGTGGGGTTCCCCTACATTCTAACAGAGACATTACAGTGTCCCAGGGAGTACGTTTTCCTGGGCTGACCTCTGGGCCGCAGCCCTCTCTCTGGCTGTACTGGCAGCTGGGACCTGAGGGCCAGGGCTCTGCCCCCCACCTCCCACCTCCCAGCTGAAGTTCAGATGCCAGCAGTTCTGGTCCCCAGTGGCACCAATGTCAGCCCCTCTGGACCCCAAACCCCACTGCACAGCCCCTGAAGAAGGGCGTTCCCACTGCCGGCTCCCTCCAAAGCCCTCTCCTCCCCTCCCCTCCCCTCCCTACCCCTTTCGTCCAGCCTGAGCTTTGCAGAAACTCGCCCCAAGTGCTCCAGGCGTGCAGTACTCACAGTCTCCCGGCTCCCTGGAGTCTTCAGCAGGCAGGCACTTCCTATCTGCCCGGCCCCCAGCCCCCGCCCCAAAAAGCGGCTGCCTGGGCTCCAGCAGGAAGCTGGGGCTGCCAGCCGTTCTCTGTTTCCAGGGAAGCGGCCTTTGGTCCCCATCTGGGATTAGCCTCCATGCCCAAACATGGTCACGTCTGAGCGCACAGCCCGGGACACACACTCAGAGCAGGTACCAGCCCGCAGGAGGACGGAGGGTGGCAGCTGCTACCCAGGCCCCGCACCTGCATTTCCCAGAGTCCCCTGGGAAAGGGGTATTAACAGCAGCACAGGGCGAGACAGGAAGCCAGGAAAGACTGTCCTGGTGTTTGGAAAACACTTCTTCCCTCAGTCTCTCTGAGTTGGTGGAGCGGCTGACAAGCCCCGAATGGGACATGGTTTGGTTTTCCTTTAGTTGACGTGAGGGAGAAGGAGGAGTTGAAGCTGGAGTGGGGCGGGGCTTGTCCGCCACTGGGGGGCTGGCATATGGGCTGGACCAGCCAAGCCCTCCTTTCTCTGGCATGCGCATGCTGTGTGGCCCTGGGCAAGTCGTGGCACCTCTCTGTGCCTCTGTTTTCTCATCTGTGCTGTTGGGGTTTTGTAAACTCACTTTGTTCAGGGTAGTGATGAGGACTAGAGACGGTGGACATTTGTGGCAGAGAAACAGAACTTACGTTTTAAAGACCAACAGGCAGAAGCAGGGACCGTCACCACTCCAGCTGCTGCTCGCCAGCCATGGGCAGGGACAGCCTGCTGTGTCAGGTGGCCTCCCAGAGACTGTCCAGGTGTGGTCCGGGGTCATGCCAGAACTTCGTTTCCCTCACTGAGGCAAGAGAGCATCAGCGTTTGCAGGCAACACAGGTTCCCAGATTTCTCTCCGCTTCCTCGTCTGTGAAGTGGTTGTTGTGAGGATTAAAAATCAGGGACAGGCGAGCCCAATTCTATGGGCCCCTCCTGACTGTCAGGCATGTCTCTAGCGGCCCTTGCTTTACCCAACAGTGAGGTAAAGAAGTCGAATCTGAGCCGCGGGGGCTTAAGCACCGGGTCCACGGTGACACTGCTCGAAGGGCCAGAGCCAGATTCGAAATCAGCTCTTCCAGATCGCAAAGCCACGCTCCCGCTGAGCCTGCCCCTGTGCTGAGACGTGAACGCTCACCTGCATTGCACAGTCACCTGTCACCTGAATGAGTCCGCCACCCTCGCCCCCCCCACTCCCACCATTAGGCAGCCCGCCCAGCGGGCCGTGGAATGAATGACGCTCCAGCAGTAAGTCCCCGCCCCCCTTTACTAATTGAATCACATTAACAGGAGAATAAATGGTCTGTTTCATGGACATCACAGCAAAGGAGGGCTCTTAAGGCCTTAGCCCTTGCAGGTGGATTGGCATGAGGGTCACGGGGCCTGGAATGAATCCCCAGAGGAGTGGTTTCCAGGATGGTTCTTGGTCCACTCAGGAGCCGGAAGAGTCCTCCTGGGCCCGTGAACTGGTGCACAAAGGCCAGTCTTCCTCCCGCTCCCTGGGAGAGAGGTGCAGGGCAGCAGCGGGCCCTTTTAAAGGATGACCAACGGGCTGCTTGCATGTAATCAACTAAATGACTTCTCAGGATTACGCGTTTGGAATTTATAAGCCAACATTAGCATTCTTCCCAAGGCTCTTTTCCTCTCAGAGGATGGGGACAGGCAGGAAAGGGGGCGGGGGAGGCAAGCTCCTTGCTGCAAAGACGTGAGCCCGAGCCAAATGCTTCGACCAGCCTTGCTTTGGATGAAAACCCGGGTCCCTGGCTGGCTTTGGGGTTGTGTGTGACAGGCGGTTGTAGGTGGAGGGCAAGGAACTAATGATGCTACCACAATAAAGACCGGAGCTTGGCATTAACACGGGCTGTTAGAGTTCACAAAATGCCTTCCCTGCCTTCAGTCTTCCAGCATCCCCATACGGTCACAGTCATCCATTCGGGAAGAGATTTGTCTACCCATTTTACAGAGTGGGTAACTGAGGCTCAGAGAGGTTAACTAAATTGTCCAAGGCAAGTGACTTTGCCTCTCTGAGCCTTGGTTTGCCCACCTCTAGAAGGGAGATCAAGCGCGTTCATTCTTTGTGGCATCCTCACAGGACGTGGTCTTGTTCCCATTCTCTGCCCAAGGTCACTTCCCTGGCATGTGAGGGATGGAACCTGGATGTGAACCTGTGCTTGCTGCCTCCACTGCCCATCCTGTGTGTGTCCCCCCCCCTCCCCCCAGGCCCCTCCCTCGGTTCCCGAGAGGACCCGTGTTCCTTATGACGTCTGCTTCAGCTGCTTGACAAGCCCCCTCTCCTCGGTCCACGGCCCTCTCCTGGCTTGTGCATCCACTAATTTATTTAAACCCTTTTGAATCAATATCTATTCTCTGCCGCCACTTGGAATAATAAGTCCCATAAATCAACTTGGCAACTGTGTCCTGAGCCCTGCGGAGGGTGTCACTGGCTGAGTGCCACAGGAGCGGGCGCGAGTGGCCCTCAGTCAGTCATAAACACGTGAAGACCTACTGTGCGCGGCTCTAAAGACATCACTGTGCTGAGGTGGGCCAGGCCTGGCCCCTTCCGTGTGTCGGGGGGCGGGGGGGGAGGGGCGGGAAGGAGGATGGATTTTTTAAACTGCAAAAAAGACAGAATGGGAGTAAATAAAAGGATATACTTAAGGGAGAGAGTAATAAAGGGCAGAGGAAATCAATGACAGGGTGTTCACAGATCTGAGCAGACAGAGTTTAAGAACGGGACGATTAAATGTCAATATGTGGGTTAAAGGCCAGGTGGGACTTGACGAGGAGCATGACAAGGTTGCTCCCTGTGAATAAAGGGACACCCTGCTCCTTGCTCCTGCGACTCTGAGCTATAGTCCCCTCACCTCATCTTTCGGACCTAGTGACAAGGTGTTTCAGCCCGCTGTGTTGCTAACGTCACTGTTAGCAGCTTGAAACTCTCCTTGAAACAAGGAGGAACATAAGTAAATACAGAGAGCTGCTGTCCGTCTGCGCAGCATGGGCGATGCTGCCTGCATCTCCTCCTGCGAACCCTCCCAGCCCCAACTCACCGTGGAGAGACGTGGGCGATAGCGATAAGGCACAGAGATAGCCTGTCACTCGGGGACCTGCTGGGAATGAAAGGGCAGGTGTCCTTCCCACACTCACCAAAGGATGTAGGTTCTCTCCCTCCACCTGCTGGTGAGCTCTCCCCTCCCAGGGGCTTGGTCCTGGGTCCTCGCCTCACCTCCTGTCCCCTCAGCCACCCTCCCTGCCTCCCGGGCCAGCTCAGTGCCTGGATGTAACACGCTCAGAGCACAGTGCACGCTCCTTCCCGGAAGTTCCTCTCTTTCTGCAGCTCTACATGGATTCAGGTGGCTTCTCCATTAACCGGGCTCCCCACGGGACGGGGAGCCGCCCAAGATCGGGGAGCAAGAACTGTTCAGGGTCGCATCACTAGTCCTGAAAGAAGAAGCAGAGTATCTTGGTTTTAAGAAACAGTTGTCTCTGGTTTGAG